GTGTAATACCACCTTAGATTTAGAGGTTATAATAACGTAAGAAACACAGTGCATTCCTCTAGGAATTTGGAATGACATCCATTTAATTTTGATGGTGAGATTAAGATAATTTAGACAGAATATGCTGAGGAGGAGACTGAGGCCTCCCACACCTTACAGTACATGTTGTATATACAACACTGTAAAAGCAGAGTCAAAACAGTCAGTATTCCGTTACCGACAACACAAAGGCATTGGGCTCTAAAAGCATGTTTCATTTTCTATTCCACCGATGCAAAATAAAGCCATATTTTCTTGTTATAGATTTGACCTCAATCGTCAGGGCAGATATTTGTGCAGATTCAGAATGCTCTTACATAATAAGATATGGTACATGACTACAACACATAGCAATACACTTTATGATCAAGAACCTGAAAACCTAGATGAGATTGATTAAGAAAATACATTGTGATGGTTTCAAAATTGTTGTTTTCCTCATGAATTTAAAACTAAAACAACCCCCAAAATGGCACCAAATGATATGAATGTGTGTGAATGGAATGGGAATGTTCACCTAAGTTTCCATCTCAGAACAATGCTGATCTGTCTGGAACACAACCATCTGTGGCAGGATGCCATCTGAGCTGGGAAACTGAGTTACTGTATGGTTGAGCCAGAATGGAGACCAGCAGTGATATACTGTACAGGAACAAAAAAGCGTCGACCTCTTGCACCCACCCAATCCATACAGTACTGTAATGTAACACCATGAAGCATTCGCTTACGAGTTAGTACATAACACTGCACAGTATAACAGCAAGTCTCAAACACAGAGATTACTACACATTCAACATTCAATAAATACATTGATAAAGACTCTGATCAATATATTATGAATCAATATATTATTTACCAATTTCTCTTCTCTTGGTCAGAATATATTACTCTATGTATACCTCTCACTTGAGGAAAAAGCCGTTAGCCATGGCCAGCCCAAAAGGGTTAGTGGTATTACAGTAGAACTGTGACAATAAATTGTATACTTTGTCACAACTTGGCAGCTTGCTACTGGATGGGCTTGGCATCTGGAACTGCGTAAAACAATATACTCTGCAATTAAATATTAATAGTCAACCATAATATTTATTATAAAAATAAATGTCATATCACACAAGTAAAATGATTGCATGAAAGGGTTGGTAATAAATTCTCAAAAGGAAAAACTTTTCCCATCAGGTGGTATAAGTTACAATTCATGTACAGTGGGAAACGTATTTAGTCAGCCACCAATTGTGCAAGTTCTCCCACTTAAAAAGATGAGAGAGGCCTGTAATTTTCATCATAGGTACACCTCAACTATGACGGACAAAATGAGGAAAAAAAATCCAGAAAATCACATTGTAGGATTTTTAATGAATTTATTTGCAAATTATGGTGGAAAATAAGTATTTGGTCAATAACAAAAGTTTCTCAATACTTTGTTATATACCCTTTGTTGGCAATGACACAGGTCAAACGTTTTCTGTAAGTCTTCACAAGGTTTTCACACACTGTTGCTGGTATTTTGGCCCATTCCTCCATGCAGATCTCCTCTAGAGCAGTGATGTTTTGGGGCTGTCGCTGGGCAACACTGACTTTCAACTCCCTCCAAAGATTTTCTATGGGGTTGAGATCTGGAGACTGGCTAGGCCACTCCAGGACCTTGAAATGCTTCTTACGAAGCCACTCCTTCGTTGCCTGGGCGGTGTGTTTGGGAACATTGTCATGCTGAAAGATCCAGCCACGTTTCATCTTCAATGCCCTTGCTGATGGAAGGAGGTTTTCACTCAAAATCTCACGATACATGGCCCCATTCATTCTTTCCTTTACACGGATCAGTCGTCCTGGTCCCTTTGCAGAAAAACAGCCCCAAAGCATGATGTTTCCACCCCCATGCTTCACAGTAGGTATGGTGTTCTTTGGATGCAACTCAGCATTCTTTGTCCTCCAAACACGACGAGTTGAGTTTTTACCAAAAAGTTATATTTTGGTTTCATCTGACCATATGACATTCTCCCAATCCTCTTCTGGATCATCCAAATGCACTCTAGCAAACTTCAGACGGGCCTGGACATGTACTGGCTTAAGCAGGGGGACACGTCTGGCACTGCAGGATTTGAGTCCCTGGCGGCGTAGTGTGTTACTGATGGTAGGCTTTGTTACTTTGGTCCCAGCTCTCTGCAGGTCATTCACTAGGTCCCCCCGTGTGGTTCTGGGATTTTTGCTCACCGTTCTTGTGATCATTTTGACCCCACGGGGTGAGATCTTGCGTGGAGCCCCAGATCGAGGGAGATTATCAGTGGTCTTGTATGTCTTCCATTTCCTAATAATTGCTTCCACAGTTGATTTCTTCAAACCAGGCTGCTTACCTATTGCAGATTCAGTCTTCCCAGCCTGGTGCAGGTCTACAATTTTGTTTCTGGTGTCCTTTGACAGCTCTTTGGTCTTGGCCATAGTGGAGTTTGGAGTGTGACTGTTTGAGGTTGTGGACAGGTGTCTTTTATACTGATAACAAGTTCAAACAGGTGCCATTAATACAGGTAACGAGTGGAGGACAGAGGAGCCTCTTAAAGAAGAAGTTACAGGTCTGTGAGAGCCAGAAATCTTGCTTGTTTGTAGGTGACCAAATACTTATTTTCCACCATAATTTGCAAATAAATTCATTAAAAATCCTACAATGTGATTTTCTGGAGAAAAAAATTCTCAATTTGTCTGTCATAGTTGACGTGTACCTATGATGGAAATTACAGGCCTCTCTCATCTTTTTAAGTGGTAGAACTTGCACAATTGGTGGCTGACTAAATACTTTTTTTCCCCACTGTAGTTGCTACTGTAACTGTTGAAGCATAAGCAGAACCACTATGCTTTATCTCAGGATGATATGGCATCCACTACCATACAGTAAACTCATAATGATACTGTAAATCATTTACGTAGATACACTGCAAAAAAAAGTAGGGAACACTTAAACAACACAATGTAACTCCAAGTCAATCACACTTCTGTGAAATCAAACTGTCCACTTAGGAAGCAACACTGATTGACAATACATTTCACATGCTGTTTTGCAAATGGAATAGACAACAGGTGGAAATTATAGGCAATTAGCAAGACACCCCCAATAAAGGAGTGGTTCTGCAGGTGGTGACCACAGACCACTTCTCAGTTCCTATGCTTCCTGGCTGATGTTTTGGTCACTTTTGAATGCTGGCGGTGCTTTCACTCTAGTGGTAGCATGAGACGGAGTCTACAACCCACACAAGTGGCTCAGGTAGTGCAGCTCATCCAGGATGGCACATCAATGCGAGCTGTGGCAAGAATGTTTGCTGTGTCTGTCAGCGTAGTGTCCAGAGCATGGAGGCGCTACCAGGAGACTTGCCAGTACATCAGGAGACGTGGAGGAGGCCGTAGGAGGGCAACATCCCAGCAGCAGGACCGCTACCTCCGCCTTTTTGCAAGGAGGAGCAGGAGGAGCACTGCCAGAGCCCTGCAAAATGACCTCCAGCAGGCCACAAATGTGCATGTGTCTGCTCAAACGGTCAGAAACAGACTCCATGAGGGTGGTATGAGGGCCTGACGTCCACAGGTGGGGGTTGTGCTTACAGCCCAACACCGTGCAGGACGTTTGGCATTTGCCAGAGAACAACAAGATTGGCAAATTCGGCACTGGCGCCCTGTGCTCTTCACAGATGAAAGCAGGTTCACAGTGAGCACATGTGACAGACGTGATAGAGTCTGGAGACGCCGTGGAGAACGTTCTGCTGCCTGCAACATCCTCCAGCATGACCGGTTTGGTGGTGGGTCAGTCATGGTGTGGGGTGGCATTTCTTTGGGGGGCCGCACAGCCCTCCATGTGCTCGCCAGAGGTAGCCTGACTGCCATTAGGTACCGAGATGAGATCCTCAGACCCCTTGTGAGACCATATGCTGGTGCGGTTGGCCCTGGGTTCCTCCTAATGCAAGACAATCCTCATGTGGCTGGAGTGTGTCAGCAGTTCCTGCAAGAGGAAGGCATTGATGCTATGGACTGGCCCGCCCGTTCCCCAGACCTGAATCCAATTGAGCACATCTGGGACATCATGTCTCGCTCCATCCACCAACACCATGTTGCACCAAAGACTGTCCAGGAGGTGGCGGATGCTTTAGTCCAGGTCTGGGAGGAGATCCCACAGGAGACCATCCGCCACCTCATCAGGAGCATGCCTAGGCGTTGTAGGGAGGTCATACAGGCACGTGGAGGCCACACACACTACTGAGCCTAATTTTGACTTGTTTTAAGGACATTACATCGAAGTTGGATCAGCCTGTAGTGTGGTTTTCCACTTTAATTTTGAGGGTGACTCCAAATCCAGACCTCCATGGGTTGATACATTTGATTTCCATTGATCATTTTTGTGTGATTTTGTTGTCAGCACATTCAACTATGTAAAGAAAAAAGTATTTAATAAGATTATTTCATTCATTCAGATCTAGGATGTGTTGTTTAAGTGTTCCCTTTATTTTTTTGAGCAGTGTATAAAAAAAAAAACATATTTTGGTGTTCTTCAGTCCAGGTCCTGGAGAGTGACATTACGTGCAGGATTTTGTCCCAGTTTAGCACTACACCTCATTCAACTCATGGAGGCCTTGTTTGAAAGAATCTGTTGTGTTAGTGCAGGGATGGAACAGAAGCCTGTACACTTTGTAGCTCTCCAGGACCAGGGTTTGTGACCACTGCATCCAAATATTATTCATATGACAACTTTCACTCCGCCTACAGCTCAGCCGGTGAGTACAGTTATGGGTAGGCTGCGTCTGAAATGGCACTCTATTCCCTACACAATACCCTACTTTTGACCCGAGCCTGATGGGTCAAAAGTAGCGCACCACTGTATATATGGAATAAGGTCTCATTTGAGACGTAGACTGGTAGAAAGCTCAGTTGTCCAGTCATATCCTGTTTGGCCCAGTGAGGTCAGAGGTGGCTCAAGCCCTGCCCCCTCACTCCGTCTTCCAGACCGTGTTGAGAACCTTGACCACCTCCTCATAGATGATGAAGACGATGGCCACATCCAGACACACACGACCCAGCCGAGGAACCGTCCCCTTATAGAACCTAGAGAACACAGAACAAGGAGAGTAGAACATCATATATGTAGAACTCAGGATCTCTATGGAGTAGAACCTCAGGAATGAGATGGAATGAGCAGTAAATAGTACCATTATGTTCCTTAAGGGAGTTATACATAAAGTTTGATTGTATAGAAGAGTATAGTGGTGCACTTACGCTCGTACACCCTCGTGTCTCATGATCTTCAAGGCACAGTCCAGCGTACTCTTATACTTATGAGCCTCCAGACCCTTAGAGAGAGAAAGACACAGGGTTATTCACTTAGACAGAGGTGGAGTTACGCCATACATGTATTTCTAACACATTCAATTCTTTCAGATGTACACAAGTGCCTATAACGGTACCCTATCCTGTACCTGCATCCTGGTCTTGATGACATCTAGGGGGGTGTTCCCGAACACACTGGCTGCTCCTGCGATGGCTCCAAACGTTCCCGTCACCATGGGGTTAATGGCCTTATTGGTGTTATCCCCTGGGGAGAGGAGACACACAAGACAGAATGATCTTTAACACTCACCCAAGTGGGATACACACAGTACGCTTGTCAAAGAGAGTGCCTTTTTACAAGTGACCACTAGAGGTCAGCATTGTCTGTGTGGTGTAGACCTGTAAACATGCATCCAGGGCCCAGGATCAGCTCCCCTCTGTCGATGTAATCATATTCATTGTGATCTAAAGGCTAAGCTGATCCCAAATCAGCACTCCTACTCTGAGACACTTGATACATCTGGCCCCTGGAATCCTGATAATGTTAGCTGACACTCCCGTACCTTTGTACCAGTTCCTGAGGGAGGTCATGACGTAGAATCGGATGGCCTGGTTGGAGCCCTGCTTCAGGACGGTGGCCGTCAGGCCCTGGTACGTCCCCCTAATACCTGGGGTACAGTAGCAGACAGCAGCAGTTAGCAGCAGTTAGCATCACTGGATGTAGTAGCAGCATTATGCACTACCCACTTTAAAGAGTGACTGAACACACCGATTCCGCATGTGTTTTTCTGTTGCTCATTAAGAAAAACGAGATTTCAGTCTTGGGGTTGTTGTTCGATGTGGCAGTTACTGATGTTTGTCCCCCATGAGACACCATAGGAACAAAGCCAGTATCACTTCCTCAAAATAGTCCGAATTAATCTAAGATAACTCAATAAATCTGTAATTCATTTTGACATTTTTGCCGAGGAACTTTTAGTTGCGCTATTTTACATCTAGCTAATGTGTTTGGTGCAGTATTTCTCAAATTCAAAAATGTGTGACGTGTTGTCTTATGTAAACAAAGTCGTCTCCACTGTGCTGCTGGGCAGGTCTGTCTCACTGTCTGTGTGTTTTGCCGTACGATTAAATAGACCGCAATGACCGTAGCTGTTTATCCCATGGTAGTGGGCAAATGGGCATTGTCGAAATCAAAACCCAACCCTCAAGTACAATGAATAATAAAAACATTAAGAACACCTGCTCTTTCCATGACATAGACTGACCACGTGAATCCAGGTGAAAACTATGATCCCTTATTGATGTCACTTGTTAAATCAACTTCAATCAGTGTAGATGAAGGGGAGGAGACGGGTTAAAGAAGGATTTTTAAGCCTTGAGACAATTGAGACATGGATTGTATATGTGTGCCAATTGAGACATGGATTGTGTATGTGTGCCATTCAGAGGTTGAATGGGCAAGACCAAAAATGTAAGTGCCAATGAACGGGGTATGGTAGTAGGTGCCAGGCGCACTGGTATGAGTGTGTCAAGAACTGCAACGCTGCTGGGTTTTTCACGCTCAACATTTTCCTGTGTGTATCAAGAATGGTCCACCACCCAAAGGACATCCAGCCAACGTGACACAACTGTGGGAAGCATTCGAGTCAACATGTGCCAGCATCACTGTGGAACGCTTTCGACACCTTGTAGAGTCCATGCCTCGATGAATTGAGGCTGTTCTGAGGGCAAAAGGGGGTGCAGCTCAATATTAAGGTGTCCTAATGTTTAGTATACTCAGTGTAAGTCATGACGAACTCTTATACACAAATCTCACAAATCTCAGTTTTGGACGATACTGATTTGATTTAAACATTACAGACAAAATACTTTACAATATACATACATTTAAAAACAACATGTAGTGTGTGTGTGCGTGCATCTATCAGTTATATACAGTGCATTCGGAAAGTATTCAGATCCCTTCACTTTTTCCACATTTTTTTACATTACAGCCTTATTCTAAAATTGATTAAATTGTTTTTTTTCCTCTTCACTCTACACACAATACCCCATAATGACAAAGCAAAAACAGGTTTATAGAGAATTTTGCAAATGTATTACAAATAAAAAACAGAAATATAACATTTGCATAAGTATTCAGACCCTTTACTCAGTACTTTGTTGAAGCACCTTTGGCAGCGATTACAGCCTAGAGTCTTCTTGGGTATGATGCTACAAGCTTGGCACACCTGTATTGGGGAGTTTCTCCCATTCTTCTCTGAAGATCCTCTCAAGCTCTGTCAGGTTGGATGGGGAGCGTCGCTGCACAGCTATTTTCAGGTCTCTCCAGAGATGTTCGATCGGGTTCATGTCCGGGCTCTGGCTGGGCCACTCAAGGACATTCAGAGACTTGTCCCGAAGCCACTCCTGCATTGTCTTGGCTGTGTGCTTAGGGTTGTTGTCCTGTTAGAAGGGGAACCTTTTCCCCAGTCTGAGGTCCTGAGTGCTCTGGAGCAGGTTTTCATCAAGGATCTCTCTGTACTTTGCTCTGTTGATCTTTCCCTCGATCCCTACTAGTCTCCCAGTCCCTGCCGCTGAAATACATCCCCACAGCATGATGCTGCCACCACCATGCTTAGCCGTAGGGATGGTGCCAGGTTTCCTCCAGACGTGACGCTTGGCATTCAGGACAAAGAGTTCAATCTTGGTTTCATCAGACCAGATAATCTTTTTTCTCATGGTCTGAGTTCTTTAGGTGCCTTTTGGCAAACTCCAAGCGGGCTGTCATGTGCCTTGTACTGAGGAGTGGCCTCCGTCTGGCCACTCTACCATAAAGGCCTGATTAGTGGAGTGCTGCAGAGATGGTTGTCCTTCTGGAAGGTTCTACCATCTCCACAGAGGAACTCTGGAGCTCTGTCAGAGGACCATCGGTTCTTGGTCACCTCCCTGACCAAGGCCCTTCTCCCCCGATTGCTCAGTTTGGTCGGGCGGCCAGCTCTAGGGAGAGTCTTGGTGGTTCCAAACTTCTTCCATTTAAGAATGATGGAGGCCACTGTGTTCTTGGGGACCTTCAATGCTGCAGAAATGTTTTGGTACCCTTCCCTAGATCTGTGCCTCGACACAATCTTGTCTCTGAGCCTTACGGACAATTCCTTCGACCTCATGGCTTGGTTTTTGCTCTGACATGCACTGTCAAATTTACCACAGGTGGACTCCAAACAAGTTGTAGAAATATCTCAAGAATGATCAATGGAAACAGGATGCACCTGAGCTCAATTTCGAGTCTCATAGCAAAGGATCTGAATACTTATGTAAATAAGGTATTTATGTTCTTTATTTTTAGTAAATTTGCAAACATTTCTAAAAACCTGTTTTTGCTTTGTCATTATGGGGTATTGTGAGTAGATTGATGATGATTTTTATTTATTTAATCCATTTTAGAATAAGGCTGTAAGGTAACAAAATATGGAAAAAGTAAAGGGGTCTGAAGACTTTCCGAATGCACTGTATGTCAGTACATACACACAACAAGTAGGTCACATGGGGAGAGGCGTTGTGCCGTGAGGTGTTGTTTCATTCGTTTTTTAAACCAGGTTTGCTGTTCACTTGCGCTATATAAGATGGAAGGGAGTTCCATGCACTCATGGCTCTGTATAATACTGTACGTTTCCTTGAATTTGTTCTGGACCTGGGGACTGTGAAAAGACCCCTGGTGGCATGTCTGATGGGGTAAGTGATTGTGTCAGTGCTGTGTGTAAGTTCACTAGGCAAACCATTTGGAATTTCCAACACATGAATGTTTCTTATAAAAACAAGAAGTGACGCAGTCAGTCTCTCCTCAACTCTTAGCCAACAGAGACTGGCATGCATAGTATTAATATTAGCCCTCTGATTACAATGAAGAGCAAGACGTGCCACTCTGTTCTGGGCCAGCTGCAGCTTAACTAGGTATTTCTTTGCAGCACTTGACCATACAAAATTAACCTACTTGCACTTTTTAGTCAATTTTGGCACTGGAAATGTTTGACTAAAATCGATGTCACATAAGCCGTTTTCAATGAGAGAAGTTGGTTCTCAAGTTCAGTTCAGCTTTAAACAATAACTGTCAGTGTGAATCCACACATAAGGTAATCTGCATCTACTTTTGGCCAGAGCCCTATGGGGGCTATATAGGGAATAGGGTGCCATTTGGGACGCATACATGGCCTTTGTTGATCGCTCAAGGTTAGGGTGGAAGGACCAGATTACCCTCCCTAAACAATAGCCTTAAATCAGTGTCTAGGCTAGGGCAACTTCCCCCTCCTCCTTCCTTACCTTGGGTTCTGATGATCTCCCTGACTCCATGGTAGAAGCCTCTGTATTTGGGGTTGGCTGAAGACTGGTCGTGGATGAATTTAACCTTGAGAGAGAACACAGGGACAGCTTAATCACCAAACATACACACACACACACACACACTGACAGACAGTATTATTACCCAAACCCAACCGTGCACCTGGAAAAATTGCATTATCATGTTTTTTTCTGATCCTTTATTTTATTATCAGTTTGACAGAGCACTGAGAGCAGACAGACAGCCTTGAGGGATGTTTTTGTCTGTCTGGCCTTTAATTCAGATCATATCAAAGAGTATGATTGAAGGGAATACATTCCTGGAAGGCTTGGGTCAACCCTCATTCAGCTGTTGGATTAGATAAGTAACAAATATAGAGACTGATTTGGGATCAGGTCAGATCAAAACAATTATCAGCTAGACAGCTGACCCCAGACCAGTGGGTAGGGGGTATCAGTGACACCGAATCTGAGAGGAGGGGAGCAGGGGGATAAAGACAAGGGAGAGGAGCGGGGGAGCGAGAGAAAGAGGAGAGGTGGGTATGGAGGAGAGGAGGAGGAGAGACAGGAAAAGGAGACAGAGCTATAGAGGAGAGGAGAGGAGGAGAGAGACTATAAAGGAGGCTATAGAGATGCTCTGTCTCAGACGTACCTTGACAGTCTCCATGGGACAGACTATGACTACAGCCTCCATGACTCCAGCACCAAGCCCACATAGCAGACCCCTGGTGCTGTTCAACTTCCCTGCCTCGTCACGGGCATGGTTACTGAGATACTCAAACACACCAAACCTGAGATAGGGGGAGGAGAGAACATGTTAGTATAATGTCCAGTCCAGTTGATTAGTTCAATCAATGTCGTTCTCATGAGTGAGAGTCATCAATAACAAGCAGAGCTGTTGTTGCTCAGGTTTGAGTGTGGTACAGTGATATCAGGAAGAGGAGTTAGGCTTGATTCTAGACTTGAATTTGAATAGTCTAAAATCTCATCCTAGAATTTTATAGAATATCAGACTAGAAACATGAATCTAGAAAACTCTCAATACAATCTCCCTCTAGCCTGGCTCCTTGTTACCTAGGTGACAGTAAAACACAGAAACTGATACTGTATAACTGTGAAGATGAGAAGGGTCAGAGTTACTGATATCTCTGGATGAGATATGGAAACAACAAAGAGTCTTCAATGAGTTCTAACCCCACTGGACACCTTAGAGGAAGCCAGGTTGGGTTTAATCAGCTAAACTACTGATAAGCTGAATTTCACACCAGTTTCCTGTCTGAGCACCATAAAACAGATTATTAATCTTAGTAGAAGTCTTGCCCCAGTCCTATGGAAGTGGACACATAGATACACCTCGAGGCAAGAGGCAAACGACTTCCTTCGATGCCAAGGTGAAGTGAAACAAACTGCTAATGATGCAGAATGTTTTGCTACCCAGCAGGTAAGGCACATCCTTGTTAAAAGATGTAGCCATAAAGTCTGATGACTCAGGAAGCAGCGGACGCCCAGCAACTGCTACCATGAAAGCGAGCTGAGCGTTCTGTCTCACCCCAGGAGTGTGTGTGTTGAGGGGGAGGAAAGACACTTTTCCACTTAGTGTTGATTAACGGTTTGTTTTCTTGTAGCCTGGTAAAACAGACTGATATTTTATTGTGTTAATTTAATGTGTTACTATTTTCTTGTTGTTAATTTTGTAAATTTAATTTTCATACTTTTTAACTGCATTGTTGGGAAAGGGCTTGTAATTAAGCATTTCACGGTAAAGTCTACACTTGTTATATTCGCTGCATGTGACAAATAAATACTGCAAGATCAGGCGGGTTTCACGAGGCTAGGTTTCCTGTGCCTCTGCCCTCTAACCTGAGAGTGTCTGGTCTGACCGATGTCTGTCTCCATCTCTGGGTGTGTCTCGCTGTTTTATTTCGTCATATCTTCTCCCTCTACCCCTCCATTTGCTCTCACTCTCTTTCGCTCTCTTTTTCTCACCTCATATTTTTTTGTTCATTAAAATGTAGTATCTGTTTCTCTGTCTCTACTCAAGAATCATGTTTGTTTGTTTGAGTGATAGCCGCTTCACAACTCACATTCTCTCTCTGTCGTGCAGGAACACACAGACTCGACTGGCAAACAGAAGGCAATGATGTAGTTTCAAAACAGGTCTCTCTCTCTCTCTCTCATCCACCTTAATTGGACTGCAAGGAATTGGCTGTATAGTGTTTTTTTCACTATACTATACCTTACATTATCCCATTAAAATGATTAAATTGACTTCAATGTGCTAAGGCTAAACTACCTCCTCTCTTTAGCCAATTCAAATGGACAGAAAAAACGTTATCATCCCAACATGATGGATAACAGCCGGGCCAGCAGCCAAAGTCCAGAATGAGTCAGAGGCACCTTGGTCGTCACAGAGACCATGGAACGTCTCCTCAACCCCATTAGGGCTCTATCTGCAAGGTCAGTCGCTCCTCGCCAAGAGATGAGGGGAGGAGGGAGGTATATGGGAAAGAAAGGATGAGGGAAAAAGGAAAGGGGTGGATGAGAAAGCAGGTGGAGTTAAATGGGTGGATGAAAAAGGTCAGTCTCTCTCCACTAAAGCCCAGTGTCTCTCTGGTCTCAACGTCACCACTCTCTTATCTCCTTCACTCCCCTGTCCCTCCCCCCACTGCTCCACACTGTACATAACAGGCAATCAGCTAATGGGATGGGGGAGATGGTGGGAAAGGGGAGAAAATGATGGATTGGTAGTGGGAGGGGGACAGAGGGAATGGGAAAATAAGTTTGGGAGAAGAAAAGCACTCGCACACACACACACACACACACACACAAACACACATAGCTGTCAGACTAGACAGATGATGTGGCCTACTCTTGTTGCCCTGTCCATCTCTATACCCTGTTTCCTTACTGAGCCCTTCCCCTAGGCTGACTGACTGACACACAGACACACACCAACAGGTCTTCCTCTCTGTATCTCCACTGATACATGAATTGGCAGCTCTGCTCCGCATGGCTGGGTCTGTCTGTTCACTCTGCAGACAGGCTCTGCCCTTTAACACACATGCACACAAACAAACACATTCAGAGAAAGAGAGATGCTAAATGCCCCTGTCTGACACCGAGTTCTCCATAGAACGGTGGAATGTGGAATAAAGCAGGTAGGAGAATAAATATAATCTCTGGGAAAGAATAACATAATTACACAGGAGACCAGCGTGACATTTCAGCTATGCATTGTGGGTAATGGACCAAAATAATTGGTGTGTGTGTGTGTGTGTGTGTGTGTGTGTGTGTGTGTGTGTGTGTGTGTGTGTGTGTGTGTGTGTGTGTGTGTGTGTGTGTAGGGCTAGATGCCATCCACATACCTGACAGCTGATTTGGGTATGGATCCATAGAGCAGTGAGCTGAGTCCTCTGTACAGTCCTCTCACCCCATGACCCTGTACCGTCTGCTTTACACAGTCACCTACACACACACACACACATCATTACATAAACACACAACCAGCTACAGACACACAGAGAGTATTAAAATAACTTCATATTCACACATGGAGAGACACAACAGTATGAAAACTCCTTGATGAACATAGCTAGTTAGTATGAGGCAGAGACAGCTGTGTGCAGGGCTCATTAAGATGGTCTCAGATCCTCAGAGCTCCAGCCAAGAGAAGCCAGACTGACTGTGTGTGTGTGTGTGTGTGTGTGTGTGTGTGTGTGTGTGTGTGTGTGTGTGTGTGTGTGTGTGTGTGTGTCTCATACAAACAAGTAGCGTGACAGCTTGCCAGAATCACTAATGCACCTGAGGATGATGGGTAATTTGATAATTAGATCCTAAGAGGGACAGAGAGAGAGAAAGAGAGAGAGGGAGAGAGATAGCGAGAACAAGAAATGGAGGGAGAAAAAGAGATAGAGCTAGATGGAGGTTCATTGATTTGGTAGACACACTGACGACCCTGTATCTCAAGAAGGTTAGATGCATTGGGGAAGAAGAGGTAGAGAGGTATGAAGGGAGATGGATAGGGAAAGGGTTTGGGTTGTTGTGTTGTGGGGTGAGAGGACACACACACAGTCAGACACTCACCGATGCCCCTGTATTTGGGAGGGTTGGCCTTCTCGTCCAACTGTAGCTGAGTCTTCACATACTCAGTAGGGAAGGTGATACAGATCTCTATACCCCCTGCTATACCACCTGTAGAAAACACAGAGCAGAGGTCAGATAAAGATTTACAACCTGTAGAATAGATAGACAGAAAGGAAAGTTACTGTAAACCGCCCACATTCAGGCCAGGGTTGATCTCAGAAATGGCATCAAACTTCAACCAAACGCAAACGTTGTCAAACCGTCTGTGCTTGCTGGGGTTCTGCATGTCATCATAATTTTGTAGCGGATGAGTCTGAACTACGCAGAAAACAGAGAACAATGGTCGGCAAAAGCTTATTCCTTTTGTGAATCTTCGGGTAGCTAGCCTTGGTACCAGACTGTTTGTACCAACAAATTGCCTTCTACAATGACAGGTTGGCTAAAGCAGGCATTCACTTTGGGCAGAGCCAGTACACCATGGATCATAACAATGACCCCTACATATGGCTGCCATCCATAAACCTTAAAAGCCCAGAGAGCGTGAGAGGAAGATAGTGTACTGGATAAAGATGTATAGAGACATTTTCTCTATGCATGAACGTGTAGCTACAGTGCCTTGCGAAAGTATTCATCCCCCTTGCCGTTTTTCCTATTTTGTTGCATTACAACCTTTAATTTAAATGGATTTTTATTTGGATTTCATGTAATGGACATACACAAAATAGTCCAAATTGGTGAAGTGAAATGAAAAAAATAACTTGTTTCAAAAAATTCAAAGAAATAAATAACGGAAAAGTGGTGCGTGCATATGTATTCACCCCCTTTGCTATGAAGCCCCTAAATAAGATCTGGTGCAACCAATTAACTTCAGAAGTCACATAATTAGTTAAATAAAGTCCACCTGTGTGCAATCTAAGTGTCACATGATCTGTCACATGATCTCAGTATATATACACACCTGTTCTGAAAGGCCCCAGAGTCTGCAACACCACTAAGCAAGGGGCACCACCAAGCAAGCAGCACCATGAAGACCAAGGAGCTCTCCAAACAGGTCAGGGACAAAGTTCTGGAGAAGTACAGATCAGGGTTGGGTTATAAAAAAATATCTGAAACTTTGAACATCCCACGGAGCACCATTAAATCCATTATTAAAAAATGGATAGAATATGGCACCACAACAAACCTGCCAAGGGAGGGCCACCCACCAAAACTCACAGACCAGGCAAGGAGGGCATTAATCAGAGAGGCAACAAAGAGACTGCAAAGCTCCACAGCGGAGATTGGAGTATCTGTCCATAGGACCCTTTTTAAGCCGGACACTCCACAGAGCTGGGCTTTACAGAAGAGTGGCCAAAAAAAAGCCATTGCTTAAAGAAAAGAATTACCAAACACGTTTGGTGTTTGCCAAAAGGCATGTTGGAGACTCCCCAAACATATGGAAGAAGGTACTCTGGTCAGATGAGACTAAAATTGAGCTTTTTGGCCATCAAGGAAAACGCTATGTCTGGCGTAAACCCAACACATCTCATCACCCCGAGAACACCATCCCCACAGTGAAGCATGGTGGTGGCAGCATCATGCTGTGGGGATGTTTTTCATCGGCAGGGACTGGGAAACTGGTCAGAATTGAAGGAATGATGGATGGCGCTAAATACAGGGAAATTCTTGAGGGAAACCTGTTTCAGTCTTCCAGAGATGTGAGACTGGGACGGAGGTTCACCTTCCAGCAGGACAATGACCCTAAGCATACTGCTAAAGCAACACTCAAGTGGTTTAAAGGGAAACATTTAAATGTCTTGGAATGTCCTAGTCAAAGCCCAGACCTCAATCCAATTGAGAATATGTGGTATGACTTAAAGATTGCTGTACACCAGCGGAACCCATCCAACTTGAAGGAGCTGGAGCAGTTTTGCCTTGAAGAATGGGCAAAAATCCCAGTGGCTAGATGTGCCAAGCTTATAGAGACATACCCCAAGAGACTTGCAGCTGTAATTGCTGCAAAAGGTGGCTCTACAAAGTATTGACTTTGGGGGGGTGAATAGTTATGCACGCTCAAGTTCTGTTTTTTTTGTCTTATTTCTTGTTTGTTTCACAAAAAAAAATATTTTGCATCTTCAAAGTGGTAGGCATGTTGTGTAAATCAAATGATACAAACCCCCCAAAAAATCCATTTTAATTCCAGGTTGTAAAGCAACAAAATAGGGAAAATGCTAAGGGGGGTGAATACTTTCACAAGCCACTGTACTTGATCCAACTAACGAAGAACAAAAGAATGATGTAGGATGTTGGGAAGCTCTATATTGTGGATGAGTTCAGAGGATGGGGATGAGAGTGTTAAGAGCAGCAATATGTGCAGATGAGTCACTTGGAAAAGAGGGAAGGGAGGGCGAGAAGGAGAGGAGAGAGGGAGGAGAGAAGGCTGACAATTAAATTATCTGCTCTGTCCAGAGGGAGGGGCTCCATTATACAGGCCAAGACCCTCCATTAGCTCAATGACACACACACAGAATTTCCCCATTTTCATTTCTTCTCGCTCTCTCGCTCTCTCCCCCTCTCTCTCTCTCCCATCCATCTCCCCCCCTCTCTCTCTCTCACACACACACACACACACACACATTCAAATCCCAGAGGCCCATCTGTATAAAGAAATAATGGGAAGGGTCCAGATACAGTGGCTTGCGAAAGTATCCACCCCCCTTGGCATTTTCCCTATTTTGTTGCCTTACAACCTGGAATTAAAATGGATTTTTGGGGGGTTTGTATCATTTGATTTACACAACATGCCTACCACTTTGAAGATGCAAAATATTTTTTATTGTGAAACAAACAAGAAATAAGACCAAAAAAACAGAAAACTTGAGCATGCATAACTATTCACCCAAAGTCAATACTTTGTAGAGCCACCTTTTGCAGCAATTATAGCTGCAAGTCTCTTGGGGTATGTCTCTATAAGTTTGGCACATCTAGCCTCTGGGAATTTTGCCCATTCTTCAAGGCAAAACTGCTCCAGCTCCTTCAAGTTGGATGGGTTCCACTGGTGTACAGCAATCTTTAAGTCATACCACAGATTCTCAATTGGATTGTGGTCTGGGATTTGACTAGGCCATTCCAAGACATTTAAATGTTTCCCCTTAAACCACTCGAGTGTTGCTTTAGCAGTATGCCTAGGGTCATTGTCCTGCTGGAAGGTGAACCTCCATCCCAGTCTCAAATCTCTGGAAGACTGAAACAGGTTTCCCTCAAGAATTTCCCTGTATTTAGCGCCATCCATCATTCCTTCAATTCTGACCAGTTTCCCTGCCGATGAAAAACATCCCCACAGCATGACGCTGCCACCACCATGCTTCACTGTGGGGATGGCGTTCTCGGGGTGATGAGAGGTGTTGGGTTTGAGCCAGACATAGCGTTTTCCTTGATGGCCCAAAAACTCAATTTGAGTCTCATCTGACCAGAGTACCTACTTCCATATGTTTGGGGAGTCTCCAACATGCCTTTTGGCGAACACCAAACGTGTTTGTAATTTTTTTCTTTAAGCAATGGCTTTTTTTTGGCCACTCTTCCGTAAAGCCCAGCTCTGTGGAGTGTACGGCTTAAAAAGGGTCCTATGGACAGATACTCCAATCTCCGCTGTGGAGCTTTGCAGCTCCTTCAGGGTTATCTTTGGTCTCTTTGTTGCCTCTCTGATTAATACCCTCCTTGCCTGGTCCGTGAGTTTTGGTGGGCGGCCCTCCCTTGGCAGGTTTGTTGTGGTGCCATATTCTTTCAATTTTTTTATAATGGATTTAATGGTGCTCCATGGGATATTCAAAGTTTCAGATATTTTTTTATAACCCAACCCTGATCTGTACTTCTCCAGAACTTTGTCCCTGACCTGTTTGGAGAGCTCCTTGGTCTTCATGGTGCCACTTGCTTGGTGGTGCCCCTTGCTTAGTGGTGTTGCAGACTCTGGGGCCTTTCAGAACAGGTGTACATATACTGAGATCATGTGACAGATCATGTGATACTTAGATTGCACACAGGTGGACTTTATTTAACTAATTATGTGACTTCTGAAGGTAATTGGTTGCACCAGATCTTATTTAGGGGCTTCATAGCAAAGGGGGTGAATACATATGCACGCACCACTTTCCGTTATATATTTTTTCGATTTTTTTGAAACAAGTTATTTTTTTTCATTTCACTTCACCAATTTGGACAATTTTGTGTATGTCCATTACATGAAATCCAAATAAAAATCCATTGAAATTACAGGTTGTAATGCAACAAAATAGGAAAAGCGCCAAGGGGGATGAATACTTTTGCAAGGCACTGTATGTCATCCAACTGTGTGACAGCTTGGCATCCATCCAACTTCTACCGTTATTGTAGGCCAAACCTCTCTCTCTTCCCTGCAGCACTTAGAATTACAAATTATTCTGGAGGTGATAGGACATATACAGTGGGGAGAACAAGTATTTGATACAATGCCGATTTTGCAGGTTTTCCTACTTACAAAGCATGTAGAGGTCTGTAATGTTTATCATAGGTACATTTCAACTGTGATAGATGGAATCTAAAACAAAATCCAGAAAATCACATTGTATGATTTTTAAGTAATTCATTTGCATTTTATTGCATGACATAAGTATTTGATACATCAGAAAAGCAGAACTTAATATTTGGTACAGAAACCTTTGTTTGCAATTACAGAGATCATACGTTTCCTGTAGGTCTTGACCAGGTTTGCACACACTGCAGCAGGGATTTTGGCCCACTCCTCCATACAGACCTTCTCCAGATCATTCAGGTTTCGGGGGCTGTCGCTGGGCAATACAGACTTTCAGCTCCCTCCAAAGATTTTCTATTGGGTTCAGGTCTGGAGACTGGCTAGGCCACTCCAGGGACCTTGAGATGCTTCTTACGGAGCCACTCCTTAGTTGCCCTGGCTGTGTGTTTCGGGTCGTTGTTATGCTGGAAGACCCAGCCACGACCCATCGTCAATGCTCTTACTGAGGGAAGGAGGTTGTTGGCCAAGATCTCGTGATACATGGCCCCATCCATCCTCCCCTCAATACGGTGCAGTCGTCCTGTCCCCTTTGCAGAAAAGCATCTCCAAAGAATGATGTTTCCACCTCCATGCTTCACGGTTGGGATGGTGTTCTTGGGGTT